CATCCATGTTCAACGTGGCAGGCGTTTGCACGTCTGGCTGTGATTCAATCATTAACTGAGCACTGTTCGGCGATCTTGCCTTGGTCTTCTCTGACACCATGTCACAAAAATCGGCTCTTCAGGGACAAACGGTTTATCCAACAAGGCAAGCTTAGCGAAAATGGCAACATAACAAGCGTTCAGAAATCTCGATGCAACTAACTAGATCAATTCCATAACTAACGACGCTTCTGCATTCATGAGGTTACTCCTTTGAATCAGTTATACAAACCCACTCTAGGGTCGCCAAAATAAGAACCAATCAGCGCGTGGGCGAATTATGCGTAGGCGTCCAATCAACTGCTTTGTTCGCTTGAGGCAAGAAAGCCGCCTGCTTCGCCATGCAAATCCGTATCGTTATTTTGCAGGCACAATCCAAACACAAACCTGGCCGGCCAATTGATTGCCATGCATCTTACCCAAGTAGTCCCCGCCAGTCAGATTACGTAAAGAAAGAGGAAATGGTAACCTCAGGAGAGATGAGAGGTGAACAAAATAACGATAAGACCAAAGCAAGACCAAAGTAGCAAAAAACAAGTGATACCTGAAGATGAAAGTATGTCAGGAGAAGGGGAAAGTTTTGCATAGCCATCCAAGAGTATCTTGCAGACGCTCAAAGCCTTTAATGTAGATCCCGTGACCAAGTGCTTTGGAAGGGAGTCTCAGCGTTCAGTAACTTGAAGCGACAAACGAAATTCCGTTCTAATCCGATGATAACGAGGGTGACCAAGGAAAGTAGGTAACGTAGCCGATCTTCCCCATCAGAATACGGTAGGCGATGATCAAACCCCTTTGATAGTGTATCGAGTACATTCACAAATTAATCAACCGTTCGGGATACGTCTGCCCCCGTACACTATATAATAACCTAGTATTCACTCGCAAAACTCTCACCAATTCCATTCTGTCCCGTACAAGACATGGTGGATAAACCTGGACGAGGAATTCCGGGTGCGGTCGCAGGAAAGCCGAGAATAGTCTCTATCACATGCACCTTAATGATCGCTAACTACGCTCACACTCTGATTGGTCCTTTACACACATGCACGCACGCACACATACACCAACAATAACCATTTCTCATAACTTGCATCTGGGCACTTTGTGAGTAAACTGTTCACTACAGCGCGCTGTCTTCTTCCTGGCTAAGGGTCAATATACGTACTATTAGGAGCGAGACGTAACAGTCTCACAGTCATAATAGGCGTTGAAACTGCGTGGTAGCAGCGAATCAACAAAATCATACAGATTGGTTCGCCGAGCTGAGTAATTTATTGGTAAACGTTTCACCACATCGCTCAGTGGCATCTCCAGTGCACTGCTGCGTAGAGGTAAACCACACAAAAAGTGTCGTCGGGACGTAACGTTTGATATTGGCCTCGTCGATCCGTGTCCCGCGACCTCCACTCGATTTTCGGCCGCGCAGTTTCATGCTTTCTCAGCTGTAGGTATATAAGATCGAGATCAATGAATTCTCCGTAGAGAACCATGCCTCGAGGAATTCTCTTCATTTCTTGTCCCTCCGTACGTCAGAATTTCTGTGCTGTCCCAGTTAACACTGTGTCCTTCCTCATCGAGGTGCGCTGAGATCTGTGACCATGCATAAAGGTATCGATATGCACGCTTGTGCTCTTGTATTCTTGCAGATAGTTTTCGCCCCCTTTCACCCACATAGTCTTTCTCACAGTTCTTGCGCTCTATCCTGTAGACGACATTTCGGTGTTCGTGTGCTCCCACTTTCCCTTTAGGTCTAGACAAGATTCCCTTCAAAGTCGCAGTTGGTATGTGAGCTACCATCAGGCTGTGCGGCTTGACGAGTCTGGCTGCTTTGTTCCGATACGTTTTTGTGGTACGGCTAGGTGATAGGTTTCCCCGTTGTTGGTGCAGGTGCAGTAGTTGTGCTCCTTCGGTTTAGGTGTCTTCAATCCTGTGTACCTACAGCTGAGAAGGCATGAAACTGGGCGGCCGAAAATCGAACGAACAGAGGTCGCGAGACACGGATCGACGACGCCAATTTCAAACGCTACATACGGGCGACACTTGCCGTGAGATTTTCCTCTACGCAGCAGTGCACTGAAGATGCCACTGAGCAGAGCGCTGAAACGTTTGCCATTAAGTTACTCAGCTCGGAGAACCAATCAAAACCATAACTACCAATCCGAGCTACAGGTATTCCGAATCATTGCAAACATCATCCAGAACCACCTACAAGCAGCCTTCTTCCAATTTTCCGCAGATCAACTTGCCGAGTATAAACAAGAATTTATCTGCTACTAACAACGTATCTCGTATGGGGACCAGTTGCTCCGATGCGAAAAACCGAACACCTTGTCCGGTTAACGGTCGTGAAACATTAGGTTGACCAATCGCAGAACAGACTCAAGATGGTTCGAGTTCCCTCAGAATCACTAGAGATGTTCGCAATATTCCAGAGCTTAAAATCGTCGGTAAAGTTAGCGATAGTACCACATTTAGGGCAAAGGAAAGCAGGATTTTGAATGAAAACGACCAGGAAAATTTTTCTTTTGCTTTAAAACAAGTTTTCAAACAGACAGCACAAGTTGCAAGCGACAAAATAATTCATGATCTCCAAGCCAGAAAATGTTTTTATACTAGATATCAGTGTAAGGGTAAAGATTACAATATACACAAGCTCAAGGAGTTGCCGATGGCACAACTTGAAACAAAAGATCAGTGACGACCGAGTGCAGGAATCTGGCCAAAGTCGCAGAGTTTAATCCCAGCAGTCCCCAGAGGATGAAAAACTAGTAATCGACACGTCGCTAACTTTGTTGCACCAATAGATAATCGATATAAAGCGATACAAAGTTCGCCGACGTATTCCGGCTGGAAGCGAATACAATGAGGCTCGCAAAAATTCTCAGAGCAAAACTGTGTACTAGCCTGAAGAAAGACCGCGAAGCCTGGTGGTCTCATCGTGCTTCGGAGATGGAAACAGCCGCTACCGTTGGTAATCGTCGTAAGTTATTCCGTCTGATACGGGAAACAGGTAGCAGGAGACCTGGTGTTAGCGAGACCATACGCGACGATAGTGGGCAGCCGATCCACAGCCTGTCAAAACGCTTGGAGCGTTGGGCTGAACACTTTGCAAGTCAACTTAACCAAGCTGAGTTATCGGTTTCTTTTTCGGGCATTGAGCGCCCTTTTTCCTGGACCGTCTTTTTGGATCCGCCTTCACGCGCAGAAGTCGAACGTGAGATCAGACTGCTGAAATTGCGTAGGGCTACAGGGGAGATAGAATTCCCCCAGCCCCCTTCAAATTCGGTGGACCTGCTCTAGTAGACGGTCTACACGAGTTGCTAGTAAAACTTTGGGAGCAGGAGACTGTCCAGACAGACCGGAGCCGCTCCGTCATTGTCCCAATTTTCAAGGGAGGCTCCCGTTCAGAATGCCACAATTATAGAGGGATCACTCGGATCTCAAGTGCCACTAAATTGATTGCGCCTGTCATTCTCTGACTAGCACTCGTGAAAGCCAGATTCGTGAAAACCAAGCCGGGTTTCGTCGAGATCGCGGCTGCATCGATCACATCTTCACCTTGCGTCAATTGTTGGAGCACCGCCCTGTTTATTGGCGACCCATGGTAGTCGTGTTTCTCGACATAAAAAGTGTCTTCGATTCGGTGGATCGACGTGCCCTTTGGGACTGTTTGCTGAGAAAAGGCGTGCCTCATAATTAGGTAAATATTATCAAAGCGCTGTAAGCGCATAGTCCAGGCAGATTTAGGGTTTGTGACAGACTGTCGCCACCCTTCAGTAGTACCAGCGGTGTGAGACAAGGTTGCCCGCTGTCACCTTTCCTCTTTAACTTCGCTATTGATGAAGTCATGGAAAAAGGGTTCGCTGGACACGACCTAGAAGGTGTGGAGCTACTTCCTGGTGAGCGACTTCTTGTGTTAGAGTATGCGGACGATATTGTCCTAATCTGTGATAGCTGTCAAACATGTCAAGTAGCACTAGACTGATTAGCACTGGCTGTCTATGGTTTTGGACTATGCTTTGCTCCATCGAAATGCAAAGTACTTCTCCATGATTGGCAGAGGCCCAACCCTGCGCTAACGCTTTGTGGTGATCATCTAGAAGTCGCTCAGGAATTCAAGTACCTGGACGTCCGTAAGATCAAAGACGAGGTTATGAACCGTAGAGTAAAACTCGATGCGTTGTTGCCAATCTGCGCCACCTGTGGCGCCGACGCGACATCACTCTCGCGCTGAAGGGAAGAGTTCTTAATGCAGCCATCCGTTCAACCCTCCCATATGATTGTGAAACCTGGCCCATCAGGTCGACAGACATAGAGGCTAGATATGTACGACCATCACTGCTTTCGCAGCTTAGCTCATGTTTGGTGGGAGCACCGAGTGAGCAAAGAATGTGTTCAGCGACGTTTATTTGGTACAGGAAGAGTGGGTGAATCGTCCAGCACGATTATATCACGCACCAGGTGCCGATGGCTGGGCCACGTGTTGCGCATGCCAGCAGACCGACTTCCGCATCGTTCGTTGTTTACGCGCCCGGGGTCTGGATAGAAGAGGAGGAGGGGAGGCCTAGCAATGACTTGGTCGAGAGGAATGATAACTCTCACTTCATCGGTTGGTGCATCCCAACTGCCTGGCTGGGGTCCTAAGAGCGATGAACACGTTTGGTTGGACACACCTGCTGATATGGCGAAGAGCCGGACCCAATGGCCAGTGTGTCGTGAGTTTCTTTGTCCATCCCCTCACCTTTAGATTCCCCCTCCAATTGCATCTCATAGCAAATGAACAATAAGACATATTTAACATACTACTTGTTTTTTGAATATTCTGTAGTGTAACTTTTAGTATCTTCTGGACTGCAGGACAGTAGATAACGTGTATTGATGATGAGCAAAATCCGAAGAATAAATAAATACTGGCAGTGACACTGTTACAAAATACAGCAGAAAAAAAGCAAAAGACCTACCGGAGCCTCGTGGAATCAAGGCCGTGGCAACTGCAGGGCCCAACGGGTGTTTAGCGACAGAATCCGTTGAATTGTCTCCGGGAATGAGCAATACTTGTGGATGAAGGGGTAGGACAGCAGTCGAAGCACTGGCAGATTGAACCGTACGGGTGACCGCATGCATGGCTTCTGGAAGGATGGTCTGACGACACCTGGAACGAGGTCTTGTCATGGTAGCAACCACATTCTCGTCCAAAAACTCCATCGCAACATGGCGTTTTGCAGGTAGAGTGCAAGTGTGTGAGGAACTGTGGACTAATAATAAAAGGGAATTGCAACGCAACACATCTCACAATTAAAAGAGTCAGCTTTTCCAGACTAGCCTAAGCCTGCTGATTGGGAGTGACGATGATGAATTAACTGAATTATACCAAAATCCTCACTACTACTCATCAGTAGCATTGATAAGTGCCAAAAATGAGGGCAAGTTTGTACCTGTAGTCGGGCATACGCCACGTATTGATCCGATGCCAGAAGATGAGGAAGCGCCCAAACCAACTGACGATGGATTGGAGATTGGATTCAGTATACCGCCCAAACTGAGATACGCCAATGGAGGACTGGGATGGCGTCCATTGACGGTGCTTTGAAGGAAGCTTGCTGCCTCAGCAGGAATGATAATCGGAGCACCAAGCACAGCATGTTCGTTGAAGATGGACTGAGCCGGAGTCAGACTAGCTCCCAGACCACCGGAGACTACGTAACGAGGCACAGGATAGCTGATGGGGCCATCGGCTGATGCACCACCTAGCAGCAAGCTAGGATCGGAGGCCATGGAGATGGTCGCATAGGCAGCAGTTGGAGATATGTACAGCTGTACGCAACAGGAGGTAATACAGAGACGCCGATGGGGTCAGGTAAAAAATTACATTGCAATTGATGGCGCTGAGCACCGACTATCCTATGGTTTACTAAAGGTCAAAAGTTGGCTGTTGTGTGATTAGTCCCACACAATTTCGGAGGGAGCAGTGAAATTCGGATTTGAGGGCAGGGCGAAATTCGAAGTGAGAAACCGAGTGGGTGACTAACTGTGAGTGAAACCCCAATCTTGTGATAAGCTAACACCTGAGGTGTGTGAACCCAGTCAGCAAGGAAGGTAGCAGGAAAACAACGGGAGAAGTTCATGCAGAGGAAAAGACAAGGCGGCTTTAAAAACTGGTAAGGAAGTGATGAAGTGTAAAGCATGAAAGCCAGCCATCATCTCAAGACAGTGCGCATCAACGGAACTTTGCAAATGACAACAAGATCAACGCGAATTGGACAACATAGAACTGAACAATGATACTTTGAAATCTAGCCGAAAACATAATGAAATGTTCTGGTGCTGTCAAACTAAACGCTGTATTGCGGAAAAATGATTTAAGCAAACGAATAAGCAAAGCAATTGGGCTGACGATAGAGAATTCATTAAAATGATTATTTTCAGCCCCATACGAGTGTAAGATGACTTCCTCAAGCATGTCGATATCTCTGATGGGGGGAGGTGGTTGTTCAGCTGTGCACACAGCAGCACTACAAACACAATGGGTAAAGGCATCAGCAGTACACTAGCACGCAGTACCGACGATCCGCTGCGGCGCAACCACCACCAGTTGCATGTAGGCTAAGGATACTGCGAGGATTGCCCTGTCTCTACGCAGGCTCGAACCAGCGCATTCAGATTACAAGACAAGCTCGTTACCTTGAGGCTACGGGCCGTCGAGTTATCAGCAGTACGCGGGCACACTGTTCCGACGTTTCGCTGCCACGCGACCATCACCAGTCGCGCGTGGACTGAGTATACCGCGAGGACACCCGCCACTACGGGGATTCGAACCGGTGACCTGAGGATTGCAAGTCAAGTGTGCAATTCTTTCGGTCACCGGCCGACAACGGCCATTGAGAATGTACCGGTGTGATATAACTGACAGTGCACAAGCAAAAATACAACCGGTAAAAGAAGCGAAACGGTAATACAATAAAACCGAGAGTTAGCGTGGTATAGGGCATCTGAAGATAATAACTGGTGCACAAGTTGAAAAATGACAGTTTTCGTGACATAAGTGGTCAACGAACGAAGGAACGATTATGCGCGGTCTTCCGTCGAAATTAGCCTGACTGAATAGTTATCGGCACCTTAGGTCAGCAGCAAAGCGACCTTTTTGCTTCAAGCAGAGTCTACCTCCATGTGAACAGTTAGAACGATGCAACCTTAAAGCGCCAGCTGCGTCCAAGCTTAAGATGATGCCATGAATTGGCAACTAATGAGAAAAATCAATATCCATTGCCTTTAGAACTAGACGAGCCAACTTAACCTGACGTTTGTCTAGTCTGTGGCATTTACGGGATGCATCACAACAGATAGGATACACGTTACCCGATAAGTACAGTTGGTACTACTTCAACAAGCTTTGTGAATATTGACGATGGGAAACTATGAACAGTGGATCAATTCATCACTATTTACAGCTACATCCTCAAGTGACGGGAGTGTGACAGCTAAAGTTTGTTCGCAAACTAAGAGACTGAACTGGTTCCGGTAGTTTTCAAGGTGTGACCTATTGTCTTGTAATTCAAGTATACAGCTTCACAATTAGAGAATGTTCTTACCTAAGAGGGTAGGAGTTTATCACTTCACAGAGTCTATCAAGGTCGTTGTTGGTTAGCATCAGTGTGTTCGCAATAATGAGAATCGCATACGGATACCGGGTGCCGATAGGCAGGCGCACATTCGCTAGAGTGATACTTTAAGCTGGTCCGGGTGCATTGGCTCAGTCGCGCGCTATGCATGCCCATTCAACAACTGTTAGCGGAGAAGTCACTCTGTTTGCCGGGTGTCGGATGGTGTGACGTTCGACGAGGCGGTCGGTGCAGAGGGGAATGAGGTTGATCACGGCTGAATCATTTGATGTTAGTGATTGGAGGTTCTCGCGACATCCATGCCCGTAATTGGCACCAGCGATGTGTGTACCGCCATATCTCTGAGGGACTGTCAGATTTAAATACGTGTGGTGCCAGTGCTGTAAGTCTGTTCATAACTAGAAGCAGTGAAGCCCGCAAGGAAGATATCTAACCAAAGCTGCTTTACATTCGCGAGATGGGCAAGTGTTTGTGCTTGATATTATCTAAAAAGTGCATGCGTCTTGGTCTTTAAAATGTTTGAATGGTGCACTTACACTCGTCACCTCTCACATCGAAAATATCATACTACTTTTGTGCTTCACTAACCAAAGGGTGGGCACACGTCTTCGGCAATGACAACGAACAGTTATCACAATGAACACCGGTAGATGCACCAGTCTAATGAATAACGGACAAGGATTAGTATTGAAAGTCAAGGTCTCCAGTTGATTATTGATGGCGCTCCAGCAGAAAGATGCAAGGAATGCCAGACGAGTCGCACGCCAGATTGTGAGGGCATATGGGTTTGCGCCTCCTTCTGACCGAGAAACTAACTCTACACATTCGGCTGGTGTATTGTGGGGTGATTTACACCCGTGGAGTGTTTTGATGTGAACCATTCGCAAGAATCTATATTGGTAGACACCATAATGTCGGCAAAAGATCGGCTTTGGAATGCTGCTACAGCAAGATGTTGTTGCGACATGAAAAGATAACCAAAACGTTCGCTCAGTAGGCCCGGGGAAATGGTGCGACAGCGGGGTACATCTGATGGAGCCGAACACATGTAATGGGAAACAGCGGAATCAATTATTGGGAGACGGGAAAAGATTTCAGATGAGAAACCGACAGCCGACTCCCGTGAATCGTTACATTTACAGTACCAAACGAGATCAATCGTGGTTCAGTGTGAGCACTGAACACCTCATGGACGTGGATGTAAAGCTGACAGGAGTTCATGACGTGTGGCTAAGAGGGACATTCAGGTTAGGAGAAAAGAATCACTGATGCAATCAGTGGTAGCTAAAGGGAAGTACAGAAAGTCATGATTTTGAGCAAACAAGATGGTCGAAGAGGTCGTGATCACATGATTGACATCTGATTCTAGGTATTTTGTATTCTCAGCAGGATCGATTCGGGGGATGATGGGCAGAAAGCGTCTAACACAACGGCGGAACAACGAACTCCGTAGTGAGTGGCTAGGAGCGCCTGACATATAAGGTGAACTGACTACGCCTGAGCTAGTTTCCCAGGAGAAAAGCCGTGGAGGTTTGAATTACAGGATCGTGTAGATCATGTGGATCCACAGTTTACGTAGCCAAAAGCATCTCCGAGATCAAGACAGCAGTCGCATGTGAATGTGTCTACTTCCCAGTGGTAAGAATGCTAAATATGCGAATCGGATCTTGGAAGGATAAGCAACTATGATATGCATCTCGCCAAAGAGTAGTTGAAGATGTTTGTGCCAACGGCCTTCCGAAATTGATGCCAGTAAGACTTATGAAACTATTGAAATGCAAGTAATGTGTAGTAATGAATTCCCACATATTTTACTACCATGTCACCTGTTAGTTAGAGGCGATGAACCCCACAGCAATTGTGCCGCAACAAAAAGGAAAGAAATTAAAAATAGATGATATAAGATTGAGAGTTTGCTGTGTCGGTGATGAGAATAAGCGGTAGGGGGGGGGCAAAAAGACTAGCAACACGAATGCCATTGAGCTCGGCGTTTCGCCCGGTAAACAAGCGTCTTCGACCAAACGCGTTCAACGTCCCTTTGACACTAACCAGGGTGTCTGGAATATCGATTTGAAGGTCTTGATTCCTTTTGGGAAAATCACTTACTAGCATCTCATTCAGTTCTTTCATCCAGATCTCGGTAGCACAAGCAATGCACGTGGCGAGAGTCACCTCGATGGCACGGGTAATACTTGATCTGGTGTTCGGTACTTGGTGAGTGAAATAACAGTGCTGAGCTGTTCACTTGCTCTTCCTGTAAAAAGTATCAGCAGCACACCGGCACACCGTACCGATGCCTCGCTGCCGTGCAACCACAACCAGCAGCACATGGGTCAAGGAGAATGCGAGGGGCTCTCGGCCTCTGTGCAGACTTAAACCCACGCTCTCGAAGTACAAGGCAGGCTTGTGATCCTTAAAGCCATAGGACGGCACCACAAGCGAGATAGTGAACAGGTTTATTGATCACTAAATGGTTCACCCGATTTGAGCCACACTGTGAAGCAAGGAAGCATATGTACACAGAACAGAGGCGCTGACATTGTTCGTGATGAGGAGTCCATCACAAATCAGTACGTAGGCAACCGAATGAGTTAAATTGTAAATGGCCCTGTACAATGACCACATGGATCATTTGGTCCAACTTCAATCTACTGATTATACAACAACTATCTGATGTCAGAACAAATGTTAGCAAGCAAGCTCGTTTTCAGTGGCTCCTTATTAGCCTAATACACCACAAATGAATGACATGAACGTAAACATTAAATAAGGATACAGGTTCAAAACCCATATGGTCTGAGTGATCAAGCTAGGTGATTGACCCCAAGGCGATCAAGATTGTGTGTGTGTGTGTGTGTGTGTGTGTGTGGCGTTGTCCACACTGTGCCCGTGTTACAGTGGACCAGGGTAGAGTTAGTGTCTGGACAAACATCTTGTGCGCACCTAGGTCAGGGTCATGAAGCTTGATGGCTATTGCCTCGGTCGCTGCCAGTAGACGACATCTAACTGCTCTTGTGTGGCATCTGGGTACGCAATAGATGGGCTAGAACGCCTCATGCGCTCTGACGTGGTGGATCGAGTCGACTGCGGTTGCCACTGATCTAGTCACGCCGCTATACAGCCAAGCTGGATAGTGTTCCCTGGCTCTCGCGGACGATCTCCTGGTAGTTCATCTGATGTATCTTGTTTGACACGAGCAAGAGAAAGAGTATACACAGAAAGAAGTACCTGACATTGGAATTCTGTCCTTAAGTTGTTGATTCAGGGGCGGCATTGAGTAGGAGCTTAGTCGCAGGCTTGCTGTATGGTACGTTTGGGCGACTGCGGCAGAAATCCTTCTAGACGACGATTCAGCTATCCCATCCCCTTTAACGGTAACGATAAGTAGATTGGTTTCTTTTCTACTGAACCCACTTTTGCTTTCGCTTCTCGTACCTCCATGTTTCTCCGAACGAACCTCTCCGGATAGCCATTTCTATCGAAGAGGCTTCGTACAAAGTTTAACTCGTCCGGAAGCATGTCCTCGCTACATATCCTTTTCATTCGCTTGGTTAGGCACCGAACAAGTTTCCGTTTCTGGCTGAGTGGAACGAAGCTGGCAAAATGAGTATATTGTCCGTTCCACGTTGTCTTTCTATGGACACTGCGCTGGACAGAAGCGTCAGATCTTAGGCTAACCTGAACGTCTTAGTATGACTGAGCTTTTGCACTCAGATTCAAGGGTGAATTTTATATTTGCGTGGAATGAGTTAAATTGCCACATTAATTCTTCCGTGCAAAGATGGCTATCTGAGATGCAGAATATATCGTCCACATACCGTCCGTAGTAGACTAGTTTGTCGATAACTCCATTAAGATAGTTGTTCTCTAACGTACTCATAAATACGTCTGCTAGCAATGGTTCTAATGGAGAGCCCATTGCGACTCCGTCCTTCTGTCTGTAGATCTTTCCGTTGAACAGGAATTGTACGTTCCTGGTACACATCAGAAGCAACAGTTTAAGTCGCTCGTTCGAGAGGCCGACATCCACATGGTGCAATCGAACAGCATCGCATAGGTGATCTATCGTCTCCTCCAGCGGAACATTGGTGAAGAGTGACACTACATTTAGAAAACATTTTCCTTCCGATTAACTGCACATGGCTTATGAAGTCTACGTAGCTGAATGTATCTTTGAGGCTGTGTTTGGATAGGATTTTTCTGATCGGTTCTAGAAGCTTAGCGAACCATTTCGCTATTGAGTGAGTAACGTAGTAGTTTGTGACTGCTTTTTCTATAGAGGCCGTTTTGTCGTTCTCCTTCTCCATCATCCGAAATTTTGAATGACCATTGAAGATGTTGCTCATCTTAGCAATATAGTCAGAATTATCCATAAGGACAATTCCTACTCCTTTATCTGGTCTAGAGAGCAGCACATTCTCGTTTGGTTTAGGCGCTTTGAGGGCGTCTAAGTGCGCGTTCGTCAGCAAATACCTGAACTTCAGATTTGTGCTTCAAATACTGATGGCATGTATTGACCATGGTGGATTTAAAATGCTCAGCAGTTAACGCTAACGAGGGTGTAAGCATAGCTACTTGGGAATATGCATTTTCAAACTGGACTTCTAGTTCTAGCTGACTGGTATTATTACGAGGAATACAAAGGTAATTATCATTTGGAAGTAGCAGGGGGATTTATTCGGTTTTTGTGTAGTTTCGTCGCAGTTAGACACAGACAGACAGCCACCACAGATCCAGGAAAGCGATAGACGGCCGTTTCGTCCTATTATGACTCTTCAGTAGCGCGCACCCGCCGAATTCTGCCGGATTCGAACCCACGACCTTACTCTTCCTAGTCAGCGACATATGTCACTGAGACATGGGCGACGGCAGCGGACCGCCATGACTGATATGTAACTGCGATATAGCGTGGCTCATTCGCCACTGTCTTGTATGTTGTGAATGTGCAGAGGACAGGGCTGGCCCCCAGAGCAACGACTTCCTTTGCAAGCCGCCACCATTCAGCTGCGATACTGCTGTTGAAAACGCGGACGAAATGGCAATGGGGTGGTAACAAAAGATGATGTGTTGTGAACGTACGACAGAATCTACTGTGACTAGTGTAACTTCGGGTACATATTCGTCAATTTAGCTTGTTTAGCTACTTATTGTCTCTAGGTGGTATCTGGCAACTCTGAACCAACAAGATAATATTAGACGGTTGCACAAGTAACGATAACGAATGCACAAAACGCCGGAGAAAGTATGCAGTTTGTAACACTTCGATGCGTTCGCGACTTGCAGGAATCAGGTCCTAAATTGACTAACTTGATTCCAAGTAAGACCAACTGAGATAGTCGCAACAACACGGAAAAAATGAGGGCTAGATTTGCCCAAGGATGACATTCACGGCTCGATTACCACGCGCAACTGCCAAATTGCGCGAGGAAACGAGCGTGATGGCCTCTGTATATGTCACCAACTCACACGATAGTACCCGCTCAGTCCAAAACGTTTTGAATTTAAAAATGAAGGTACAAATTTGGCGTCTTACTTGCGGCTTGTGTGCAGGAGAAAAGCCGTATGTTAATATTCTTGACACAACCATGACCTCATTAGCCTAGATCAAAGTCAGTTAACAAAATTGCCTATTAATTTACGAAATCACTCTGGCAAAGTCGATTTAGTCTGGCAATACATGGAAGTAAGCCAGTCACTAGACGGTGTGCTCATCAAACATACCTAAGCGAAGCGTAATACATAACAATTGTTAAACAGGACGAATGAACCGACCTGAGCTGTTGGTTGATTGCTTCCAACTGGCTTTTGTGGCGAACCTGCGCCACTGGGTAGCAACTCTACCAGCTCCGGTTCATCGCAAGTGTCCACATCCGCTTGCGCAGTATCAGAGATATCTTTCGGGGGTATAGGCTAATTGCAGTTCAAGAGAGACAGAGAAGTTAGCCAACTTCAAGTACCCGAAGCGAAAAACTAATTCAGAAACATCTGCTCGGTTGAAAATCATTGAAAATGTATAATGTGTGTGGTATCCAAAACGATGCAGAGTAGACTCGTGCTTAGTAAGGGGGAATTTGTAAAAAAGCACCAATGACACCTGGAGATAGAGAGAATTAGTATTCAGCATCAGCTGACCACAACGTAAACAAGGAAGGAGAAGCAGAAAACATAGAGAATGAAACCAGGTAATTTTAATGAATGCAGGTGTCTAGGGATAAACGCCAACAGGGGATTGTAAGCATGAATGGAGATGTTTGGATATAAAGCCTGGTATCACAAACGAAAGGGAGAAAAAAGGACATCAACGTCGGGAAGGACATAGATCAGATTCATACGCCACACAACATGACATCACTGACAGTTCACCGGTGAGATGGACTATTTAAAGCTGAGGCAAGTTTATTCAGTGAAAAAGGAGTGATAAAAGGCGTGTAAGAAACAACTAAGGAATGCTCTATACCCAGAGGTACATGACGGAGCTACAACATTCGGTTATAACTGGAGAGATGTCACAGGACAAAAGTGTGCTCACGGCCAATTAGGATGAACACTGCGGAATACCAACACATGCAAGCTTCTGACAGAATAATGACATCATTCGGAAGCAAGCATAGCAAAAGAAATGCACAGTGTGACGAGGAAAATATTGGATGTCGTGCATCGAAAACCTAAAAGTACTTGTTCATGCAGCGCAAGCGGGAATTACCTCACTGGGAAGAGCAACACAGTATACTGTAAGTGTACAAAAGAGAAGCCGGTGAATGAAACTGTGAAGATGTGGCTCCTATTGTCCGTAAAATGTATATTACCTGTGTTTTACAGAATGTCACGGGTTAAACAACGGACCTGTCGCTAGATTCTGCTGTTTGGACGGCCAAGTTCACGTTCTACATAACAGTGACGTGCAAACCGTGTTCCGTCATGTAAGAAAACGTTGTGGCCCGTTCACGCCCGGATCAGCCGAGGCGATGTGAAGATCGAACGAGTCCAACACAGCCACCGGGCTCATCCCCCAGTTCGCGGCATTTGCCGTAGGAAAACAAGTGCAAGGGACCAGGATTGTACACCCTGTCCTGACATCGAGTGCGAGCCAAGTTCGTCGTTACTTATCGTATGCTACATCTCAGCGAATCCCCTATGCTGAAGCAGTTGACCCACCTAGGAAAACCCCACAACACAGGCGGAGATCAGTATATACGCATATGGTCCCGGATCTGAGATAAGTTCCCCGCCTCGGTGTTTCGAACGGTGAGTTATCAATGTTCGAAACAGTCTGTCGCAGCATATATAGTGGAAGCAAATTCAGTGTGCCATTTGGAAACATTGTTGGATCTACATATCTCGCCACTGCTGGAGGTTATATTGTGAGGTTGTTTTTTATTGAACTTCTCCTTCGGCTGTTGTTCTGTCGCTTTTGAATTGCTCTTTTTTATCACGTCTATATTATGTGTGTCAAGGCTGAAAATTCACCCGTCACGAGTGCATAAGAGCGCAATCTTGACCTCACTTGATTCGGAGAACGATGGCCCAAGGGCAATGGCACTTCACATTTGCTAGCCCCAAGTTACTCTGAGTCCTATTTTACGATATCATGGGTAACAAGAAAAACGATTAGAGCATTCACAACTTTTGTGCTTTTTTAAAACTTTTAACGCCATGGACCATAGTTCGACGAAGCCGCACAGAGCTAAACTCATATTTGCTCCCACAAAACAGTATTCAAAAGTGGAGTCACAGATTTTATCTCGGTAGTACACCGGTAGGCAGTACCGACGTTTCGTTGCCACGCAACCATCACCAGCCACGCGTATAGACTAAGCATAACGTAAGGATCATCCGATCCGGACTCAAATCCGTGCCATCGGATCACAAGGCAGGTTTGTGCTCGTTTCCTGACCGGGTCTGCTAGAAAACATAAACGAATGAAAATTTAGAAGATGCGACGAGATCATATCAATACGGGGCCTTTAAAATGGCCGTTGCCGCGCTCTTACAAAATAATAATTTTTGCGCTATCGACGGCAAACGTATCAATTTCAGTTGAATCTTTTAACGAATGCTTTGGTTGGACGATTTCAAGGTCACTGAGGTCGCTCAACTCCACTGATTCTTTGAAGGAGTATCCGAGACACCGTGCAATACCCGCGGTTTGCTGCTTTTATTCAGTTGAAACGAACTATCAACAAACGTTTTAACAAATGTTGGCCTCCTCAACTGAAAGAAGAATCTCATAATTCTTTCAATCAATGTAGGGTCATTGGTTCATTTGTTGGTAGAGAGCAGAAGGAAGTTCCTTTGTCAGCTCCGTCACTTTCCGATCGTTGCGAAGGTTGCTGGGATCATTGCGGAACAAGGTTCTGCAGAAGACTGCTGTGGTTGTATGGGGGGCAGCAAAATCCCTGCGCACTCAGTGATTGGGAATCCAACAGTCGTTTGACACATTCCTCTGTCTCCGCATCGACGACAGTCTCTGGCAAGCTGTTCCAGTCATTCACTACCCGGGTGGATAGGGCCAGATCGGACCGCACACGGAGTCGCCGCGGTTTGAAAAGTTTCCACCGGTGGCCTCGGGTTGCACACTTTGTGTTGAGACGAAAGAACGATTGCAGCTCACTCCCCAGCTCACCTCGTAGAATACGCCGAGTGGATATCATATCTCCGAGGCGACGGCGATAATCCAAAGGGAACAGGTTCAACCGTTAAAGCAGTAGGGGGTAAGATAAGTCCCGCAGCTCTGGAACGGATATGGATCCACGCCGTTGAAGTTTCTCGATCATGTCATGTTCGGAATTGGTGAGAGGATACGCAGCAGGCAATCCGTACTCGAGAATTGGGCGCACATACGAAGCAAAGAGTAATCTGAAGAGTGCTGGGGTAAGGCGTGAGAAGACTCTCCGTATAGCATGAAGTATTCTGTAAGCGGAGGCAACCCTCTTCCGGGTGTCCTCGGTTGACTTGAGGTCAGGAGACACAATCACCCCGACATCCCTCTCATGGTTGACATTTCTGAGCATGAAATCCTCGATATGGCAAGCCCCAAAAGGCTCAGGAGCACGGATTGGAAGGACAGCGTAGTTGTCACGGTTAATGGGCAGCTGACACTATATTGACCAATCGTGGAGCAGATCGAGTGTCACTTGAAAGTTGTCAGCATCTTCCAGACTGGATACCTCAATCCACAGCTTCAGATCATCCGCGTAGAGTAAGCAGTCGGTCTGTAGTTCGTTGACAAAGATACTGAAGAGTTCGAGGCCGAGTACAGAACCCTGGGGGACCCCACTGGTCATGAGAACTTGATCCGAAAGCGCTTCGTTCACTTTAACCTGCATGGAGCGACTGTCTAAGAAATCAGAGACCCAAGAAAGAAAATTGTCAGTGACACCGATTCCCCGGAGTTTGAAGAGGAGCAGCTCACGCGGGACCTCGTCAAAAGCCTTCCTGAAATCAACAAACACAACATCCAGACGTATACCGGCAACTAAGGATATTGCTCATTTTCCTTAGCTACCAGCAAATTTGTGGCTCAAAGATTCGGGACAGTTTACTTAAACTACATTTGTGCACGCTTTACCCATTCTGTTTGTAAAATCGTAAAATTCTCATCTGTACTGATGACGTTTATATCACATTTGTGGTAGATGGTATAAAATATTGAAGATGCATCCACCTGGGTGTAAAAAGCTTTTCTTGACTTGACTCAAACGCTGTTGATCAATTCATAAGAAATAATGGAATGGCAATAATAAAGCATAGTCTTGATTGCTAACCGCTAGATACCCCAGAATCACAAAAACTAGAGCGGCTGGAAAATGTTTATCGCGGACCCCTAACCTAGATGTAGTATGAACAAAATAGACCGCAACGATGTCAGGTTAGGTTAGGGGAAATGGGCTGTAGGTCACAGCATATTAGGAAAATCAAAGATTTCGGCAAAGAAACCAATCACCGGAGGACTGAACTGAAGCTATGGTAGGCACTCAAGAGAGTTTGAAGAGAAATGAAGCATCTGAACAGCAGTGTTCAATAAATGATCTATGTACTCCTCGTTAGTTTATGTTTACAGTTGATACTACAGACTGGTACTCAGTAAACTATCTGAAAACACTCGATGATAGCAGTAAAAGTACGTCACACGATTAGGTTAAGATGAAAACAAACAAAACCCGATTCTCTAACACAGGGAGCTGGAGTGACTTACCAGCGTTAGTCATTTGGTCCGCATCTTCACATCTTTGACTTCGCAACCACCAGCAGGAGAAGATAATGGAAACAACAAAAGAGACCAGCACTAAAGAAGCGACCGTGATGAACAAAAGCTGTAGATAAATTCTTTCCTCATCTCCACTGGAAGAGGATAAGGAAGTGGATGCTGCTCGTGAGAACTGCTGAGGTAACACGAGTTAACAAGACGAAACTAACCAGTTCCACGTAAATGGAGTCATCTGTGTGTCTTAAACGATAACCGACTCTTTCGGGTGATTGATGTGTGGATGAAACATTGATAAGCAACTGAAACTGGTCCACAGGAGACGGTGCCACTTCGATCACACCCTAAAATCAAGCACGAAGAGAATGTGCGGATTACGCGAACGGACCAGATCTAATACGAATAAATGCCCCAACAGAAACAAAAGCAGCTTACTGCATGAAAGCCAAAGCGAAGAAATCTTTACAGTAAGTTCCCGTCGAATGAAGTGATAGACAACATTCTAAGGTTAATGCACGATTGCACAAAAAGCTAGTGGAGTTTAAAAAGTAGACTGAGCAAAACGACCTCTCTGTGGAATACTAAAGAGTCCCAAGCCGTGAAGCATATTTTGTGGCAAACTGGAGTTTTCTCGCAGCACTGCGCCGTCAGTGAGTCATACAGTGATCGTAATGCAGTAGTACAATATCCCGACCGAAACTGAAGTCTTCCCGTGATCAGCCAGGTCCACGTCAATGTGTATGCGTTGTGCATGGACCGTAAAACGTTCGGAGTTCTTAAGAGCACGAGGAGTGAAAATCCACTAGATGAAAAATAGTAACGAAAATTAGCTAGAATAGAGTAATTAGCACATTCACAAAATAGAGCGCTAACATGCGTCAGTAAACCCAGGTACAAAAGACTCGTGTAAGCTCTAGAAGCTAATCGGTCCAACCGTGAGTCTACCAGTGAAAACCTCAGCGTCGGAAAACATTATCCTCGGGGTAGAAGCCTGTAAGCGAGAACTTTAGTTGTTTCGGAAGATCGCAATAACCAGATCTATATTTGGACCGCGTAAAAGCTGTTCTCCACCAAAATTACATCGAAATGGTCTCATAAACCAGGCATTTAATCACACGAGACTCCATTAATTTTTTCGACTCTGGAAATTTCGTTTCGATGGTCAGGGAGCTCAAATGATATGCAGGTTGTGATAACATCGCAAGACAACAGTGAACCAAGGAAAGGCTGCAATAATTCCAAAACATGGGTGTATCGGATATGAGCTTACGAGGACAACTCCAATTCCAGTTGCGTAAAACATATGTGGCACGCTAACGGACGACATAATCGTAGGCAATCCATCATAAAGAAATGAAGCGGTCCGGTGTCAAAATACTGATAAGTTGCAGCCCCTCATAAATTTCTCGGCCACACTTATTGGGAATGAAAATCTGATACCAATATCTTCCACCGTCAAGTATCTCGACGTCTTTTAAGCCCAGAAACTTTCTTAGTCCACACATGTCTGTAAAATTTTTCAAAAAGTCATAAAACTTTATTGTTGCCCTCAAACTTAAGGTGCTTTCAGTACCTCGTAGTTCAATATTCAGGTTTGTGACCTTTTGGATTATTCCCCATTGGTCATACTGTAATCCTGGCAGCTTCCTTGGACTGCTTCAGAAAGAATACGTCGTGTTGATGTGATTTATAAAGCACATTTCTGGATGTAGTGACTTGTCGAGAGATTCTTTAGTTGATGTGATCATTTCTAGACATCATGGTGTCTGTAACGATATTTTTTCTAAGGTACTAACTGATCGATTTGATCCACTGCACAATGATCTTACCAAAATTGGCTCTTTCTCCTCTACTCGTCCGAAATTCATAAGTTCAACCTCCTGCATGTAATCGTATTGTAATACCGTTTTGCCTCAACTCACACGTTTGTTTGTTGACACAGCGAAAGTCACTAACACGCTGCGCGAGGGGTTGTTGAAGTAACAGTTGTGCATTTTCCCATCTTTCTCCCTAAGCATGTATAATGATATTATCATCTAGGTGTCCGTAATGGTGGTAAATGCTGAAAATAAAGCCATTCGGGTTCAAAAAGCTTATTTTGACTTGCCTTGAGTTAATCCATCACAATAGAAGGGTACAATAGTTGGGATGTTTCTTACCCCTAGCTAACGTGTAAAAGGAAGGAATGATAAGTGTCAAAAATGGCGCTCAAAGAGTATTACTAATTCCCATTTGTTATGACCAATGGGAAAAAATGCGGTACTCCCATAAGTGGAATGCATTGCTAGACAGCAGGTAAACGAAAAAATGAGAAAATGCTGCATCAGAGCAAGTGAATCATCAAAAAAACACCGAGAAATAACGGCACAGAAAAAAAACGAATCAATGCACTCCAAATGGTTAACACAATTACTTTGTAGCATCGAAACCTTCAAATTACAACCGATGAGAAAAGCAATGTACACCCAGTAAGTCGATTACCACCACGGGTAGGTGGGAGAAAAGACGGAATTATGAAAGGTCAGCGATAATCGTAGTAATACGATAGGGAAAACGAATGAAAGGGTCAAGTAGAAAGATCCACACATGGGCGAAAAGGAAGACGAAGCAGCTACAACTAAAACTAGAACAAAAATCTGGATGAGATTCTTGAGCGGTTTAACCATGCTCAAGCAGCACTGTAATTTATCTACGAGACAAACTTACAACCGGCTTCCGTACCTAGATGAGTTGTTAACTAAGCCAGACGGCTCCATCCATCGGAAAGTCTACAGAAAGCATACGTGGATTGGTCAGTATACGAATTTTCACAGTTTCGTCCAGCCGAGATATAAGCGAAACATAATCCACTACCTTACCACAAGAGAACGTAGAATTTGCATGGAACACCCTGGATGAGGAACTAGCCTTTATAAAGAATATGCTGCGCGAGAATGGCTACCCTGATAAATTTGTTATAAAGAGTTCTGAAGAAAAACCCAAGCCGGCAACAGTTTTAACCGCAACGAAGGAGTTATTTTTGACATTGACTTTTAAAGGGGATGCCGCCGCCGAGCGCCTGACCAAAAGTCTTTCAGCGGCAGTCAAGTCGACATACCCGGCAGCCAGGTTAAAGTGTACATTTTCAACTGAACGACTTGTCTGTTCACACAATAAGGATATGCTGCCATTGCTGACCTCATCTATGATTATTTATTAGTTCAAGTGCGCTTGGGACGCTACGTATATCGGTCGAACGGCAAGGCACTTGTGCAAACGCGTGAACGAGCACTGCTCAAGCTGGTTGCGTCAAGGAGGAACTGGGGTCAATAGCACCGCCGTTTTGGCCTATAGTTTCGACACTGGGCACTAAATTGATCTAAAGCGTGCATTCAGGATAAGTTACAGGGTCCCCAAGCATCAATCAAGAGGTTTGCGTCTCCGCGCGCTCGCGACAGTTGCATCGATTTGTATCCGGTTGTTCCAACCTTCTTCATGCTCCCAAAAGAAGTTGATCCATGTCTTATAGCTTCCCTGGCTAGCTAGAACGGACGTGGTTGAGCTCAACTGCCACAGATAAAGCTCGGTACCATGCAACCGACCTGTCAGGTCAAAGGTCAACTTTTAGCCTCCCTCACTGAATCGTTAATGAACTATGTACGCTGAGCCAATGGGTCGATTTCAGTTCATTTTCCCTTAAATATGACTGTAATGGTCTGAAGAGAATCATCGAAAACAACTGTTCACCTATGGTCTCATGTTCTTTTTTTAACTCTAAATGGGAATTTTCAAGTTGCTAAAACAAACTAATTTAAAAAGAATTCGGAGATATGAGGATTGTCGAAAATCTTTTCATATTTTATTCGTCATTTGTCTCCGAAACAACGATACTGCAAGCGATGAAAAGCATCATTGCTCTGCCTTGTGCACAAACGTATTCCGCTTTCTTAAGAAGATTCATCGTAACTAGACTCGGCCAGACAGCATTCATACATCGAGAAAAGCGCTAGAAAGTCATTTCGTCCTATTATAACTCAGCAGTAGCTCGCATCCGCTGAATTCTTGCGGATACGTTCTAGAGTTTACATAATGCTAACACCAAGAATATCCATGATCATATAGGCAATCGGAATATGATGCACAATGTCGTTCCCTCACTGGATTTAATTAATAGACATTGTACATAGATATACAAGTATACAGGGAGAAACAGAAGTGCTTATAGTAACAGATACTTTAGTGGGACCCAAAAATAAAGTTACGGTGTTGCTCGTTGAGTAGCTGTCAGAAAATGAGTACAGTAATGCTTACATTTTCCACTGATAAAATGCCAGCTGCGAACCAAAGTGGAGTAGATCAGCGAAGTCCCAATCAACAGCAGTACATCAGTATTGGAGGTGCCTCGCTGCCGCGCCTCCAAGCAGCGACATCCTATGGCCGGGTTCGTCCTCCTTTGGACTCATCAGATGACGATAGCCTGAATTGGGGTAGAACTCGTGTGCTGGTGGTTAACGTCTGACACCTTGCCACGCTTGGCACAGCGGTAGGGGATGTAAAGTTGGATTTGTAGTACCCACCATTTGGTTTGGTTGCGACACACAATCTCTATTGAGACCTCGGTTCGCATTAAAGTAGACCTCGGTTATTCCGATCTTAAGGACCGTATTCGAATTGGAATTTGTTTCCGTGTTAGTCATCCCAACAAGGAGACCCCATGATGGATTTCATCCTCCTTTGGACTCATAAGATAGAGAAATCCTGAGCTGAGGTGGAACTCGTTGTGATCGGAATGACCGAGGTATACTTCAGTACTTTGAACTGACGCTTCCCTGCCATACAACCATGGTTACCTATGGACTAAACAATAACAAAAGCGCAAGAACGTGGACCTAAGGTAAATTAAAATGACCTAAGCGAAGATTCAACTACTGTGCGCCTGCACCTTAGCACCAACCCGATCAGAAACAAGTACGCATCGTGTGAACATGGTGGAATCTGTGAAACATCTTCCCTGTGGTATTCAATGTCCGCGTCAGAATCCGTTTTACAGCATCCGAAAACTCACGATCAAATGCAATTTAAAAGTGAAGTCCGACTAGGAAACATCAGTGCTCGGAAAAGTCTCGAGCCAATCACAAGGTGGGTCGTATGGCCTCTGAAAGAGAAGGCGAGACGGGTCAACAAAGCCAGATGGGGTCGTCCGTCAACCTAGCATCGGCCTCTATTGGGCATTGTGTCACACTGTATCTAATAAAATGAACAAGGCTTCCTAAACGGACGCAACTAATCCAATAATAAGCGATGCTCTAAGTAACTCACCCGATGATCACCGCATAGTACTAGCCTGGGGTCACTCGACATCAAC